GCCGCAGCGGAGCTGAAGGGGGGGGGGGGTCCCGCTCCTTGAGGGGGGTCTGCGGGGTGCACAGAGTCCCGCGGGCTCCGCGCTGCAAACTCCACACAGTCACTGCGAGCGTGTCTGTCCCTCCGGGCAGCTGTGCGAGAGTCCGTCTGTCTGCAAGAACTGCCCCCAACCGTAAGAGCCAGGACACCCCATTGATCTCTTGGCTTAAGCCAAGGGAAGGGGTTGGCTGTGCCAGGGACACAGGATGTGCCTGGAATGGGATTGCTTCGCCCCCAGACAGGAAAGAGACAGACTGGCCGGGCAGGTGAAAGGACTGGCTGGGGACCCTGGCCCCCTGTGGGTCTGCCCCAGCCCTCAGCCTCCCACTCCCATGCCCTTTAAGAAGGGCAGGGGAGTCTGAGGCTCACCCTTCATAGAGGATCATTGCTGATGGTTTCCATTAGGGAATTTAGGGAGCGAGCGACGGGAAAGTGCCCAGTTTGCTGCATTCCTCACTCCGGCTGGGGAACACAGGAACAGACCAACCTGGACCTGCCCCAGCTGGGGAACATGCGCACCCTCCCTCCACTGTGACGCTGGAGCTGCAATGGCCACAGAGAGACGCTTCTCACCTGACCCCAAGCTGCTAGGGTGAGAGCAGGCTGGAGTTGTCCTTTCTCCCTGGGGCAGCCTGCATCCTGAACCCCTCATCCCCAGCCCAAGCCCAGAGCAATAATTCTAATGAAGCCTGGACGTTTTCATTTTATTTTCTAAAAAACAAAAATTAATTGAGTTAAGGACCCAAGCAACACTGGGGAAATCTTCTCGTTTAGGAAGATAGCAGTTGCAGGACTGGAACAGACTTGGGGCACATCTATACTTTCCGGAAAATTGATGCTCTGGAGGTCGATCTTCTGGTGTTCAATTTAGCGGGTCTAGTTCACACTCCTTTTGGGAGGAGTGAGGGAAGCCAACAGGAGTGTTGTCTGCCATCAGTCTCCTGCAGTGTGGACTCAGCCAAGGTTCAATTTAAGGTAAGCCAACTCTAGCTATGCATTTTGCGCAGCTGGAGTTGCGTACCTTACGCTAACCTCCCTGGTATAGTGTAGACCAGGCCTTGGTCTCCATCTGACCCAGTATTTGGTCTTTGACAGGCAGTGGCGATCCGTCAATACAGGCAACCTAGGTGGTCGCCTAGGGCACCAAGAAAAATGGCCGTTGAAGGCTTTGGAAGCGGGGGCGTTAATCACGCGTTTCACATATGGCACCAGTTGCCGACAGCTCGTCTAGGGCTGGTCCTGCTGACAGGGGCCAGCACCAGATGTTATAGAAGGTGCAAGTATGAAAAAGCACAATTATATAATTATCTGCTGCCTACAGACGAAGTGTTTCTTATGTGCTCTAAGCTTGTACCTTGACTTGTGACTGGAGAATTGAGAGTTTTATGTTTAAAATTCTCTGTTTAAAATTCTCCTGAGTAAAGTGATGGTATCTGATTTTTATCATAATTTTTACAGAGTATCATAATGTTTAAGCTTTGTTATTGTCATCACTTTAATTCTTCCGAGTTTCAGGAAATTATGGATATCAGAGAATTATTTAATGACATCAATGTCGAGATTCAACAAGCTGCAGCTTTGCAACTGTTAACAGAAAAATGGTCAACCTCACATGGCAAAATACACAAATGTCAATAGCCTTAAAGCAAAGTCTAATAAAATCTTAAGCACCACATTTCTTACTTTGCCTGTCAGTGTTAATTATGATCAATGGAAATATTTGTCATTGGTTTGTGCATATGGTGAAATTGGCTTTAATCAATAAAATCGAACCCTTCCAAGATTAAGTATGTTCTATTATTCGTGTAAATAAATAACCCTTTAACAATCCCTGTTTACCTCTTTGTTTTAGTAATATCCTGTGGAAGAGTGTTCCACTGGTCAATTATTCAAGTCCAGATCCAATCCTGAAAACCACTATTCAAGTGAGAAATCTCATTGAAATAAAAAAAATTGCTTAACATTTTTGACAAAATTAGGCCCTCGGTTGGTCTTGGTGAGGGGAGGCCATGATTTATGGCAGGCAGGTAGCCACGGCACCATTTTTCCACAACTACAAAAGGCAGACAACCACAGAGACTCATTGAGGATGTAGTCAAGTTGTGGATTGTGAGTCAGAAGACGATTGTGAAGAACTGAACTACAACTCCCAGGAAGCATTGCAGTGACATTTCAGAGTAAGGTATGTTTTTGGTTTTGGACACAAATCTTTCAGTATTTAGCAATTTTTTTTATTTATAAAGTTTTTGGGCTTCCAGTTTTTGTCAAATATCTTTTCCCCTCAAAATTGGCCACTTTTCACAAGAGTTACATTTACTCAAAAATCCCATTTTTTGACCCACCTTAATCACAGTTTTACCATCCTTTATAAAGTGATTTGAGATCTGTGGATTCAGAGCAGAATGAAAATATTTGGTAGCATCAATTAATAAGAAAAATTGATGAAATAATTCTTTGGATAAGGGTTTTTGTCATGGAAAGGAAAGTATTTACTTAATACCTACAACCTTTTTCTTACTAATAACCCTGCAGATAGGTGCCCCTTTGAGAAATGCTGCAAAAATGCTTCTGAAATTAAGACTTTTGATCAGAAAGAGAACTATCTTCTCCCATGATTGGCTGAATGGGGTTGGTTGGGGCTTGTTTTTTGTTTGTTTGGTTTGGTTTCCTTTTACTTTTTTCCCCGTCATAGGGCAGAAAATATTATGATACAACATGGGTAGGGAAACCATTTCTATTGGTTGTTTTTTAAGTTTAAAAATCAATGAGTTGGCAAAGGTCCCATAGTGCATCTGTGGAAGAGCTGGACATGGGATCCAAGAGCCAAGCTCCTCTTCCTATGGTAGGAGGGGAATATAGCATCAAATTAACCTCCCCACTGTCCTTACTTTCACAGAGGGCCCATGGAACCAGAGCCATTCACATGTAGAAATAGGGGTCTGCACCAGAGAACTGTGCTCAGTGTGGCTACATCTACACTGGTACCCTTTTCCGGAAATGCTTAAAACGGAACAGTTTTCCGTTATAAGTATTTCCGGAAAAAGCGCGTCTACATTGGCAGGATGCTTTTCCGGAAAAGCACTTTTTCCAGAAAAGCATCCGTGGCCAATCTAGATGTGCTTTTCTGCAAAAAAGCCAGGATCATCATTTTCGCGATCGGGGCTTTTTTGCGGAAAACACTACTGTGCTGTCTACGCTGGCCGTCTTCCAGAACAGTTTTCCGGAAAAAGGACTTTTGCCCAAACGGGAGCAGCATAGTATTTCCGGAAAAGCGGCTGATTTCTTACAGTAGATCATCAGTGCTTTTCCGGAAATTCATGGGGCCAGTGTAGACAGCTGGCAAGTTATTCTGGAAAAGCGGCTGATTTTCCAGAATAAGTGGCTAGTGTAGACACAGCCCTGGTGTCCAGACTCTTCTGCAGCCCTGTCCCTCTCCCTGAACCCTGCTCACCCCAGGTGCCTCCAGATGAAACCTGTGCCCTTTGGAAGGCCGTGTAATACAGCACCACAGAGAGACACCTGACTGGGGGCAGTGAGGTTTCAGGGGGGCATTTATTTCTCTGTGGGAATCCCCCTCGTCCTCCACTTAGGCAGTAACAGCCTCCTGCCCTTTATCTCTTCCTTTCAGCTCCCTGAATCCCTTCAGCTTTGAAATCTGACCCGTTGTCTTTTCCAGATCCCCCAGCAGCTCCCACCCTCTCCCAGAGCCCCTTGCACCAGCTCTACCTCTCTGGGGAGTCTGTTCAGCTCACGTGTTCTCCTCCCAATGGTGATGAGAGAATTATAAATTTTCAATTCTCCAAGAATGGGGAAAGGATCTTCCCACCTGGCAGCAGCTACTCTGATGTCATGAACTTAACATTGTGGTCATGGGATTCCGGGTCGTACACCTGACA